GTACATTGAGCATTGACCCCCCTATACTGAATTTTATTGTTGTTAACAACCATTTGATCAATAAATATGAGAGATGCCCTCTCAAAAAATAAAAATAAAAAAAATAAAATAAAGCCCTTTATTGTCAACCTAGTGGGGCCATGGGTATAGCAAAAGCAGAAGCACATGTCTAGTCTGTCCACTTTTCCCCAAAAGTCTCAATGGGCTGATCTTAAAACGGCACTCTCTACAGCTCCTGGAATCCCTCTTCCTCCTCCCGGAGGGGTCCATGGCTGACCCATCTCTCATTCCCCCTCATGCCGAGAATGGGGTCTGCCACAGCATAAGCAGTGGCATGTTTTTTACCAGTATCATCCTTAACAGTAGTTAGCAGTGGTGATCACCCTGAGAAATTATCGAGGGGAGTGTCCTAGTTTGGTTTGCCCAGGTGCAGGAGCAGAGAATTAAGACAGGGAAGAAAGAGAAGTCAGTGTAAGTGTGTTGTCCATTAACTATATCTATATACACATAAATCTGTGAGGAGACCATAAGAAGTCTTAAATTCATGAATTCAGAGTCCTGGAATCTATATGATTATAAACTTGTTCAGAGTTTCATTTATGAACTACTTCCAGTGTCCTTATTTTTGATTAAAATATAATTAGGAAGAATGTTGTTTTGGCATTTTCTATTACCCTGAATGTTAATGTTTATCAAAGGTATTGTTTCATTTCCTATGCATTCAAAGTGTCCTATAGTCTAAAAAACAACAATGAATATAGAGTTTAAATAATATATATAAGTTACTAAATAAACATCAATATACTTTAAAAACAAGATAATAAACTTTTCCATTCCTCTCTGTACTTTACAAAAATTATTCATGAGTTGGACAACAAAGTAAATCTCTATGAAGTCAAAAAAAACAAACAAAATGTCAGTATATATTCCCTGGTAAAATGTAAAAAAATTAGAAATAAATAAAATTTTCATCAACACTCAATAAGTAGGAAATTCTAAATCACTCCCTCAGTGAATCCTGTCTCAAAGAAAAAATTATCATGAGAGCATCATGGGTCAAAACTCATGAGATATCCTCAAAACAGATTTTCAAAACAAAGTCAGACCCCTGCATATTTCTATCAGCCAAGAAAGAAAGTAAAACAAACAAAAAGGTGTGTTGTCAAGCAGGTCACCATACTGGGCAACTGGACCTTAGCCCCACAGAGGAGGTCTGGGAAACTGTTTAGAACACACCTCAGACTTCTCCTTCGTGAGGGGAGAGGGAGTGGGGATATGTATCCTTCCATTCACACCCCTCACTGGCTGAGGGCCCCTCTGGGAGTATTCACTCCCCAGCCGTGCTGGGAAGAAGCCTGCAGGCAGCAGTAGGATCCTCGAAGAGGTTATCAGCAGGCACTAGCAGAGCCCACTATGGGAGAGAGCCAATTAAACACAGATTCCCAGGCCACAAACCTGAGATCCAGTAGTTTTGTGATAGGACTGAAATCTGTATTTTTTCACAATTTCTCTCAGATGTAGCTGTTGCATGTGACTGTGTTAAATTCTACAAGCCCCACCTTTTCACTTCCGCCTAAGAATTCTAGTGCCCTCTTACTAGCGGCCAGGGCCAGATTAAAACATTAAAAAATCTTGCCCAACTCCCCCCCATATGTAAATCCATATGAAACAATAATAAATGGTAAAAATAAAAATAAGTAAAGGAAAGGCCAACACAGATCTTAATTTTCCTATAGTGTTGTAGGCAGATTAATGACCCCCAAAGATGTCCACATGCTAAGCTCCGAACCCTGTAAGTATGTTATGTTACATGACAGGGGCAATTAAGGTTGCAATCAGTTAACTTTGAAATGGGGAGATCATTCTGGATTATGGAAATAAACAAAAACAAAACAAAAGAAGAGATAAAGGACAGAAGAAAGGCAGGAGAGAGAGACAAGTCCCTCACTTTCAGGGAGCTCATATCCCAGAGGGGGAAATGGATGATAAACTCAGGAAGGAAGGAAAGGAGGGAGGGGGGAAGAAGGAGGGAAAAACATATCTGAGAGTGATAAATGCCTCAGAAACACTTTTGTTCGAGACTTAGGACCAGGAGTCGGCAGCCCACAATAGGCCCAGTCCAGCCTGTCGCCTGCTTTCATACGTCCCATAAGCTAAGAATGGTTTCCACGTTTTTAAATGGTTGGAAAAAAATCAAAAGAATATTTTGAAGTGTAAAAATGATTAGAAATTCAGAGTTCAATATCCATGAAGTTTTATTGGAGCAGGGCCGTGCTTACTTAAATGATCCATGGCTGCTTTCCCACTGCAGCAGCAGAGCTGGGTGGTGACAGTACCAGAATGCCCACAAAGCCTAAGATATTTACTCTTTGGCTCTTTACACACAATTTGCTGACCCTTGCTTTAGACTGAGTGGTCAGGAAGGGCCTCCCTGAGGAGGCAGCAGTAAGCTGAGACCTGAGTGGCAAGAAAGGAGACAGAGGGTAGGAGGGCAGAGAGAACAGAACTGAGACAAGAGCTTTCTCTTTAATACTGGTACATCCTTCCAAAGAGGAATTCTGTCAAAAATGATGATGGGGACCTGAGGCTCTGAGGGGGCCTATGGGGTCCTAGAGCCCACAGGTCCCAAGCTGGGGTAGGGAACCAAGATTGCTTGTCCCCATATCCTGTGTGCCCTTTGCCAGACATGGCACAGGAGCCCAGGAACCGCTGCTGAATGGCTTTTTTTGCCTTCCTGGGGGAATGACTAGGAGTTATAGATTTGTTCCTGGAATAGGTAAGAAGAGCCTGGGATTTGCCCACAGGCCTGAGAGCAGGTGTTCTGTGGTCTCCTGGTCGGCAGCAGGCCCATGACTGCCACAGAGCCCAGCTCCGGCCCTGGTAACAAGGGCAGTGGGTGGGATGGCAGGTAGAATGGTGTGCTCTTGGTGGTTCAGAGCCCTGCTTTCATCCTGACTGGCCCACAGCCTGCAGCCTGGTGGAAGGAGGCCTACCCAACCCCGGGGGGTCCGACTCCAGCCAGGTGGGTTTTCTGGGCCTGAAAGAAGAGTGACAGCCTTGAGCTCTCAGAGAACCCTGCTCCACATCTGTTCTGTGCTAGTTCGTTTCTGCCAGGCTCTGTGCTACTGGAGGAAAGTAGGTTGTCAGCCCCATTGTGGGGTCAGAGAAATTAAGGCAGTAAAGAGCGATAGGGGGTGCTGGTTAAAAACAGAGACTCTGTGTCTGAACCTCAGACTCAAAATTTGCCAGCTGTTATGACTTCAGGAAAGTGACTTGACTTCTCTGAGCTTCAGTTTATGGATTATGATAGTATCTGCCTCACAGAAAGGTGAGGAATTAAGGAAACAATAACCTAGCACCACACCCGCAGGAAGGACTCAATAAATGTTGGCTGATCACAAACACATTCTCTCAGTTAGTTTTGACAACAGACCTAAAAGTCCTGGAGTGGCAGAGGACCCTGTGTGTGAGGCAGACATCTCTTCTCTGCCTAATTCCTTCGGGGCCAAAACCTTGACATCAACCTTGATACCTCTCTTTCGTATGCCACAGTCCATCAGCAAATCTGGCCTTCAATACACTCGCAGAGTCCAACCGTTCCTGCCATCTCCATGGTATCACCTTTTCCCAAACTGCGATCAACTCTCACTCTGCTAAAGGCCTCCTAGAGGGTCTAAGGGCTTCCATCCTTGCCTCTAACCCCAGCTCTCCGCAAGCAGGCAAAGGGATCTTGATAAAAGTCAGGTCCTAGCACTCCTCTTTTCTGTTTCCTAACACATCTTTATTTAATCAGTAACACTTCCTTATTCAATGATCATTTATTATTGCATACTTACTTTGTGCCAGGTATTATCCTAGGCACTGGAGATACAACAGGGAACAAAAAAACAAAAACCTCAGCCTTCAGGAAATTTACATTCTTGTGGAAGAAGGACAATAAATAAATATGTAAATAAAACATAATATGTTAGGTGTTATGAAGAAAAATAACTCAGGGAAGGGGAGGGGGCTTGGCTTGAATTTTAAATAGGGTCATCAGGGAAGGTATAATGAACAAGGGTTCAACAAAAAGCTGCAAAGTAGGAAAGGTGGGAATCAGGGAGTAACCTGGGAGCATCTTATTCTAGACAAAAGGACCCAGCAAGTGCAGAGATGGAAGTGTTTCTGGTGTGTTTCAGGCACACTGAGGAAACCACTGTGACCATCGTGGAAAGCGTGCAGGAAGTGAGAGGGGACCCACCTCAGGGGCTAAAAGGGGAGGCGTCCTGTAGGTTTTCCAAGGTTTTTTCTTTGACTGAGACTGGAAACCAGTGGAAGTTTTAGCAGTGGCTAGTTTTAAAGGGTCACTGATGCCACTATATGGGGCCATGGCAGAGTCAGAGACGGATAAGGCAGCTATCACAGCTGTTATAAGATATGAAGGCTTGGACCAGGAAGGAGGTAGCCCCAGGGGTGGTGTAGAATACAAAGCCCTTACAATAGGGTACCAGATCTCCTGATGGGGTCCTTCCTACACCTCTAACCTTACCTTGTTCCTTCTTGAATCTCCAACACCACAGATCACCGCTAGGCGCGTATAAGCACTCTGAGTGTTTATTGACCAAATAAATTAATGAATGATCCATCCATCCATCATCATCACCTAGTGACAGGCCTATAGTCAGAACTCAAAAACTGCTTATAGATAGAATACTGCACAATTCTGCAAAGCCCAGGTGGCCGGCCCTCTTTAAAGCTAAGGAAAATGAGGCTCAGGCTGGAGAAGTGGGGGCCTCAGCACAGCCTAGGGTAGAAGCTTCCTTGCCAAGTTTCAACAATGGTGAAGTCCTGGACATTGTGTGAAGAGCGCTTGCTCTCCGATGAGTCATAGTGATCTCGCAGGAATTTCTCCCCAAACGTCCCCAGTCTTTCGGTGCGGTAAGGCCGGAACCTCGTGAGACCAGAGGGTCATGAGGCCCTGGCCAGACAGAAGTCCTCAAAGTGCCAGGGGCGTCCCTCCCACGCGTCTCCTCCCACTTTCGGGCCACAGAGACTCAGGGACAGAAGGGCCGTCCTCGTGCTCCAAGGCCCCGCCCCCCGCTCGGCCGCCCGCGCCTCCAGCGGAAGCCGGAAGCAAAAACAGGCCTTGCTAGCCCCCGGCTCCGAGCTCGGTGGTCTCGGAGGCTCTGCAGGATGGGGCTGAAGATGGCGGAAGAGGAGTGAGTGGGCTTTTCCTGGGCGGCGGAGGCGGCAGGGCTGGGCCCAAGCGGGTAACAGCGAGCGCCCCAGGCCGTCCCGCGGACCCGGAACGCGAAACACCTGTGCCGGTTGGCCTGGACTGACCATGCCGGGGCCTGCGAGGAGGGCGGGAGGGACCGGCTTGGGCCCAGCCCGGCCCTGCAGCCTCCATGAGGTTGGACCTTCGGTCTGGGAATCGGCCGCCCAGTGCAGGCCTCGAAAGCCATCTTGCGGAAACCGCAAACCAAATTTCACTTTCCCAATTTTCGGTCATCTGAGGATTACGGAGCGCTCCGCCGCCCCCACCAGGAAGTGTCCCCTCCCCCTTTAGCCAGTCGCCTCCTCCACTATACCGATCGTGTTTTCGCATTTGTCTCGCCCACTGAGTTTTATTCATTCATTAACTGTTGGTCACCTACTCTGTTTCAGGCCCTGGGCACGTAGTAGTGAAGGAGGCCCCTTCAGGGAGCCCCCATTCTAGTGGGAAAAGAAGACCATAACTAGACTAGGTGATTTCAGTGCTCTGAAGGAAATGGAGTAGTGCTGGGAGACGTCTACTCAGGAAGAAATGAAGTGCCCGGTGAAGCTTCAGTGACTAGTAGAACGGATAGGAGCAGGAACAAGCGTAAAAGGCCAGATGCAAGGAAAGCCTTTGAGGGACAGAAAGACAGATGGCTGGAGCGTGAAAAGCAAGAGGGCTAGAGGGCTAGCTGTACAGGATGAGATAGGGTCAGGGGTCCATGACTTCCATGTACCTCTGGGAAAGGACCACTCAAGTCTATCTCCTGATCTGCTAGGTGCAGTCTGACATGTTACAGATGCCTGGTGTTTGTGGAATATGTAAAAATTAACCTCGTGGTTGAAATTTGAGTCCCTCACCCAACAACTTAGATAAATCTTTTGGTTGGGTGGTCATATTGGGTCAGCTTATTTGTTGAGGGCCTTTGCTGTCTATAGACACTAAACTGGGCTTCAGCACAAAGCAGAAGGGGTGGTATGGCCCAGTGATTTCAACTTTGGTCTCAAAGCTTGATTGTGCTGCTGACTGAGATACTGGCCAACTTCTGCAACCTCTCTGAGCCTCGATTTTTCATGGGTAAAAAAGTAGGAAAGTAATAGTACCCACATTAGGCATGTTATGCCTGTTGACCACGGTGGTATGCTACCTAGCCCCTGGAATGAAGCTGCACTCAGTAAACATTAGCTATTATAATCACAAATACAGTGGTCATTTTATCAGCATTGCACTAGTTTATAATCTACCTGAAGGGAGGAGAGAGCTGTGAGGATCATACGTGGTGTGGTAGGACAGAGTGGGGTATGACAGAGGAGGTTACATCTGAGCCTCTTGAAGTCAGGATTTTGTAAAGCAGGGTAAGGCATTCCAACCAGATCAATAATCGGGCAAATTCAGGTGGCTTTTTCAACTTGTGGATGTAATCCAAGGAAAAGATGTAAACTGGAGAAATAAAGGCACCAAGTAAATAATGTTGGACTTTGGAATGTAATGAAATTCCAGTTTGCCTGTTTACATACCCTATTCCGTACCAAAGAGCAGGCAGCATTTTATTTCTCCAATGGCCCTGATTGCTGCTTGTTCCTGTCCTCTACGTGGCTTTGTTCAGAGCACCTGAGACCATTGGTACCCTCATGCTGTGGCAGGCAGGAATCTTTTTAATGAATTTATCTCCAAGGCCTTGCAAGACTTGTGAATCCCATGGTGCTCTGTGCCATGTTCTCTTTCTGATTTGTGTGTGCGTTGGTACCTAGGGGCCCTTTTTCCTTTATCTAATTCTGCTGCTTTTTATGTCCAACAGGTTCCCCAATACAACTCATGAAGGTTTCAATGTCACCCTCCGCACTACCCTGGTGGTCACTACAAAACTGGTACTCCCGACCCCTGCCAGGCCCATCCTCCCCGTGCAGACAGGGGAGCAGGCTCAGCAGGAGGAGCAGTCAAGTGGCATGACCATTTTCTTCAGCCTCCTTGTCCTAGGTGAATGCGACAACACCAGCTATGATCTTGAGTGTCTGTGTGCGCTGTGCATATGGTTAACCCCGTGTAAACCACAGTTTACTTTGTCAAGTCTCTTCCCATTTGGTTTTCACTTCAAACACGGAAGAGTCAACGATGAGTTCATAATATTATAACAGAGTACTCCTTTTTCTTTATAAAGTCATTGCTCTTAGCAATTCTGAAGAGCCCTTTATGTAGTATCTTAGATGTCCTTTGGAAGAAATAGTTGAAGAATTTTTGACCTAGCAGGAACCTTGAACAACTTTCTGCTCCTAGTTGGAAGCTCTGTTCATGAGAGCTTCTGTGTGTATGTAGCAGGTGGTAGGAGGTGGGGGGAGTCAAATGGGGTGACATCTGACTTCCTGGCCAGAGAAGCATTTTATCTCTTTACCTATTTGGCTTCCATGTAAAAATTCTACTGAGTTAAAGGTTTTGCTTCTGAGTAAAAGATCAGATACCTTTACCCTAGCACACTTTTCCTTAACTTCTATTATTCCCATTAATATGGCCATGACTTTTGCCATATCTGTGTACCGCCTGTGTTGTTATTTACTTATGTAATATTTTTCTTAAAATGGATTCGCTCTCTCAAATTTCAAATCTCCTTGTGTTCAATCTCCTTCTTTAACAAGTGAGGAAAATTAGGCCTGGAGAGGTTAGCAATTGATACACCTGCTTTTGGGGAGACTACAGACTACCTACCATTCAGTTTGGCAGACATCAGTCAAGAAGTTGGATAACAGGTGGCAACTTAGATACTTCTCAGAGACTACAGACAGTAGACAACTGTTTCAGACAAAAAAAATTCAGTTGAAACTGCCTAAGCACTTTGGATTAGCTGACTAAGGAAGAAATAGCTCAGAATTTGACCCAAGTCCAAACTCTTTGTTTGAAAAGTGAAGTTGGCACGTTCACATTTTCTGCTCCTCTTGAATGATATTGAGTCATATTTCTAATTAGATTAGATCTTTTCAGAAGAGTGACAGGTGCAGCTGGATTGAAAGGTGCAGACTATTTGTCTATTAGAATTTACACATTTATATTCGGTCTCTGGTAATGGTCAAATAATTTTAATAATACAGTGATTTTATGTAAATCCCAGAACTCATCTTTGTCTCTTACAGATTTTTAAAGACTTTCAAACTGAACATTGAAAAAGTATGCACTACAAGTATGCAAAACCCACGTAGATTGAATATGCCCCAGTAATTTTTTACCCTGTAAATGTATTTGAGGATTCTATTTCTAGGAGTTACTTCAACAACCAAGGATTCTGGTTTTGTTTTGTTTTGTTTTGTTTTTCTTCTTTGTTTTAGTAGTTGAATACAAAGAAGAAAAGCAGTTCCTTTCTTGATCAGGAAATCTTCAGTACCTGAATCCTTAATCCTGAAGGAATATTATTAGTCTATTTACATTGTTGTCAGCTTGCTATGTTAGAGAATATAAATGGCAGGCCTGGAAAAGCTTGTTTTGGAATCATTTTTTTCACAGGAGGGTGAAAAGAATAAGTAAGACTTTCAAAGTGACTTTCAGGGTGTGGAGCATTGAAGTTTAGTTTGTGCCTAAGACCACAAAACAGTTTTTTCTAATCTGCTTTTTAATACCAGGCAAAATCCTGCCCAGTGTTAATACATCTTTAGGGTCAGAAAGGCCTGAACTGTGTTTAATAGTGCTGTATTCTCTTGGGTGGTCTTCTCTTCAGACAGATCATACACCTATACTTTAGAGTCACACTAAGGTGGGTTCCATTTTCATCTAATCAAATTATTGACAATTTATGAGTTGTTATCTCCATGTTTTATGTGTAGGTCAGCATGCATTAGCAGAATGGAGTGCTTTCTTTTTAAGAACATTTGCAGGCATTTTTTTCTTTGCTCTTGTATATTTATTCCTGATTAGATGTCCAAAGCAATGTAAATCTGTTACAGTAAGAAAACAAAAATTTACTGTTAATAGGTAACTTGCTAACTAAATACATTAATTTAGGGAAATTAGTCCATAGTTTATTCTAGACTTTAGTAACCTGGAACGTATTTACCATTTTTGTTTACTATTTTAGTCAAGTCAAATAAAATTCTGACTTTTGTGGCTTATACATACGCATGTTAAAGGATTACACTGTTTTCCTCTTTTTTTGAGAGGGGATGCCAAAACTCTAGTTGCTTTTGACTTTCAGAAGCTTGAAATAGTTGACTTATACCTAACCCTGGCTGATCTTCCACTCCACAGAAATAATGGTGAGTCCTTTTGACTTACACTAGAGTTAACAATTAGCATGATTTGACACATGCATTTTATGGGCCTTTAAATTTAATAGTCATTAAAATTGATGTATCTGTGTTTTAATATAGTTTGCGTAATAATTACTTCTGGCATGAAAAATTGGAAGCACATTAACTTATGGCATACATATCCTTCATACCACACAGAAGTTTTGGTCTCTTTGCTCTTTTTTTTCCAAGTATACTTGAAAACATGTACATGCATATACGTATGTACAGTAATAAGCACACACGTACAACCACATATAGCTTGGAGTTTGAATATAAGTGGCATCCTGTAACTTGCTTTTTCATCTCAGAATGTCTTGGAGACCTCTCCATGTCACTGGTTTTTGGGTCTACCTCATCCCTTAAAAAAAAAAAAAAAAAAAAAAAAGAAGGTATATGTGGTAAAATAAACATAACATAAAATTAAAACAATTCATTGACATTAAGTACATTCACAAATGTTGTGCATTCACCACCACTATCTAGTTACCTAGTCATAAAACATTTTCATCACCCTGAAAGGAAACCCAGTACCTATTAAAAGTCACTCCCAATTTCCCCTACCCCTAGTCTCTGGTAAACACTATCTGCTTTCTGTCCTTAGGAATTTGCCTACTCCGAATATTTCATACAAATGGAATCATACAATATGTGGCCTTTTATGTTTGGCTTCTTTCACTTAGCATCATGTCTTCACGGTTCAGTTTTCACAGTTCATCCATGTGGTAGCACATGTTAGAATTACAGTTCTGGCTGAAAAATATTCCATTGTGTGAGTAAACCACGTTTTGTTTATCCATTCATCAGTTGACGGACATTTGGGTTGTTTCCACCTTTTGTTATATAGTGCTGCTATGAACATCTGTATACACGTTTTTGTGTGGACATCCATTTTGTTTTCTCTTGGGTATATGCATAGGAGTGGAATTGCTATGCTTAGAGTTAAATAGTTACTCTATGCATGACTTTCTCAGGACCTGACAAACTTTTCCACAGAGATTGCACCGTTTTATATTCCCAACAGCAATGTAAAGGGTTCTATTTTCTCTACATCCTTGCTAACATTTGTTATTTTCTGTTTTGTTTCATTTAAGTATAGCCATCTTGGTGTGAAGTTGTATCTCATTGTGGTTTTGATTTACTTTGTTCTGATAACTAATGATATTGAGCATCATCTTGCGCTTATTGGGCCTCCTGTATATCTTTAGAGAAATGGCTATCCAGATCCTTTGCCCACTTTTAAATTGTGTTGTCTTTTTGTTGTTGAATTGCAAGAGTTTTTAATATATTCTGGATACTAGATCCTTATCAGATACATGATTTACGTATGTTTTCTCCCATTCTGTGGATCGTCTTTTTGGACCTCATTCTTTTTAGTGGCCTAACACCGTCCCCTCACATCCATGAGCTCTATATTTAGTTCTCTCCATTGATAGACAGTTTTCCCCTTTGCTCTTAAAGGTGCAAATATTTGATTTATGAGAATAAATTTAACTGATTTTTTCATCCAGCTTGGTGCAAAGCAAGAGCAGAAATGGATTCAATTCCCAACATCTGTTTTCTGTCTACTTCTTGTGCTCATGTGCCTGCCTTTTTAGGCAATAGATCACACTACATGTGATCACTGGTCACATGTAGTGCTTATGCATTGGAAGTTCTTTCTTGCTCTAGTATTTAATGTAGGATTTTTCTAACTAGGTTAAATATTTATAATAAAATAACACCACAGATTGATAGTTTAAAGACAGAATGAAAGGAGGACAAAATTTCTTTATTTACAACTGTTCATTTCTCTGACCACCTGGTGCTTTTTGGTGGGACTAAAGATACCTAGTTTGTTGATTCAGACTCCAAGGGTGGCCAGTTAACAGCTATGCCGATTGTTTAAACATTTCCTTTTACAAAAAAGAAAAAAAGCAACAAAATTATTTTCAGTGTCATTGAGATAACTCTGTGATTGATGAGATGGCATACCACCTAGTACTTAATACAACAAAGAGACATGCACCCTACACTAACATTTGGACCATGAAATTACATTTAGGAATTACATGAAAGTATGCTTTTTGCAAGGGAGGGGAATCCAGAAATACTGTTCCTTTAAAATAGATTCACATCCTTTTGCTTTCTTCCCTTTCTTTCATGACACCCCTGTGAGCATTCTTATTTTGGTGATTGAGGAATGAAGACACCCGGGAAGTAGTGGGTGTCTGTCGTTAAGGGCCCAGGGTTCTATTCTAATCAGGCTGAACCCTGCAGCCCCTACCAGTGATGTGACCTTTTGAAGCTTATTATTTACAGTCAAAGGAATAATGGTAATAATAGCTAGTTAAGGGGGGTGTTGGGGGCCAAATGAGCCAGCATTTGGGAAGGGCTCACTGCAGTGCCTGGCTCATGGGGAGCCCTCATTGGGTGGGGGGCCTCCTTACCCAGCTTGGAAGCAGGTACCCCATCTTTAGGTCTCTGATATCCTGATTTTCAAACCAAACTATTTTACCCTGTTTGTAAACATACCCTGGCTTCCTTTTACGTTGAAGAGAACCAATCACATGGGGGCAAAACACTTTATGTCAGCATATCTATTGAAATAATATTTATATAAAAGCAACTGATTTCATTGACTTCTTCCTCCTCATTTAGAGTTGATTTCCTCCCCATTTTCTCATTGATGATTACCTCAACCAAGTTGAGAACTGTTTCTCAGAATCAGAGATATTTGAGTAATTTTAAATAGTTGTATAAGGTTTAACAGCTTAGAAATAAATTAGGTGTCTTGCTCTTTCAATAACCACTGGAAAATGAACTAGTTCAGGCATATAAAGAAGTGTGGAGAAAATGTTTTACACGCTGTGAGTGTGCCTCCTGGTTAAGAAAGAAGAGATTGAAAATACCACTGAACTTTATTATGTCATTGTCAGTTGTCTATTTCCCTGGCAGCCCCCCAGAAGTAACCATTACCTTGCACTTGGTGTTTATCATTTAAAATGGTGCTGTTTTAACAATGTCTTATTTTTCCCCACAGCTATCTGCATCATACTGGTGCATTTACTAATCCGATACAGATTACATTTTTTGCCGGAGAGTGTAGCTGTTGTTTCTTTAGGTAAGTGCTTATTGGTGATCCTATAATAAATCAGTAACAATAACTACGATCTTTTTAGTGCCTCCCTAGTACCAGGAAGCACAGATGTAATACATAACTGATCTTATTTAATCCTCACTGTAACCTGCCATGAGGGTGTTAGAGTCCCATTTTCCATTTTACAAATGAGGACAAGGTGACTCAAAGAGGATCCAACTCAGCTAAGGCAAGTAATTAACACTTGATTCAAATAGTCATTGAATTTTTCAGCCAGAGAGGACTCTCACTTTATAGTGTAAGAAGGAGAAATGTCACCCTTTGCTGTCAGAGCCAGATCTAAAGTCTGCAGAGAGCATGCCATGCTATCTCACATTTATTTCTCTTGTTCCCTGTGGCAATTAACTGTTAAGATAATTAGCCTGTATTTTGAGGGAATGAACCGGTATAATAACATGCATGAGCTAATATGCAAGTTAATTAAAGTGGTTAGTGAAGGAAAAAGCAGGGACCTTTTTAGTAGGTATTAAAATCAAGATTAAAATGTGGGTGGAGATGCTTAAGGCATACATACTTAATAAGGTTTTACTAAGGTTAACTAAAGCTTTGATCAGTTTGCTGTAGTTACTTTTACTAGTTTCCACTTGTCTACTGGTGATACTTAATTTTTCCTTGTCACCACTGATGCTTTATAAGTGAATTTTCTTGGCCTTCTAGGTCTTGTTTAGGATTATTTAGTAATTCACAAAACAGTGACGGGTTCAGGTTAGCTTTGGAAACGAACATTCAGACACTGTTCATTCTCCCTAGCCCATCACTACTTGCGTTCCTATTGTTCTGGTTCAGCCCCTTCTCTGTTTTCCCAGGGCTTCACAGAACTAAGTGCCAGGTTCTGGCCTCTGAGCTTCCACATTGCGACCTCATGGAATCCTCCTAACCTCCTGGTAATGCCATGTTTTAAGGAGGAGGCACCACTGGATAGTACCGATCTTCACTAAAGAGTCGGAAACCAGTTTTATTCAGAGTTCCTTCAGGCTCTTTAGCAGCACATCTGGCGGATTCTAACTGCCTTAGCTGACAAGATAACCATAGAGCCCTAAGATGGCAGGATCAGTCAGTTACATTCCTTTCCTGCTATTAGGCACTTTGAAAATAACCTACATAGCTAATACCTACTATTCTGGAGTATTCAGTAAAGACTAAAAACAACACTCCAAGGAATTTACAATCTTATGGTCGGTTTTCATAGTTTCTTAAGAATAAGAAATACAGTTGGTATATATTTAAGTATTGTGCACATGGAAATTAAAATAATGGTTCTTAAAATTTGGCTTGGATTGTCAAGTTCTTCGCTGTCTTTGAATGTTCGGGTAACTGCAGGCCAGTGAACACCAGTTCTTATATTAGGACTTGGAGCACACATTGTTGGTTGCCTGCCCAAGAGCCATATCTCCCTTCTTTGTTGGAAACAGAACCCTAATTTTGATCAGGTGTCTTGCCACAGTACACTCAAGAACAATGGGCCCCTCCCTCTAAGTCACTGTTGGTCTTCATCATCATGACCATCTTTGCCAAGGATTGGTTGCAAGGGGTAGAGGCACAAGGCCTCACGCAGTTCAGGGAGACCAAGGAAAGGTGTGTGAGGGTGGTATGTTTGTTTTGTTGTTTTTTTAGGGTGGTATGTTTTTGAAAAATTTTTCCTCTTTGGTAAAAAGAGAAACGTCCCCTTCCTTTGGTGCTGTTATATGAGGCTGTGATTCCTGGCACACTGTCAGTCACCGGCAAAAGTGAGAATGCCAAGGATTGCCAAGGGAACAGATGGGAAGCCCAGGTTCTTGACTGCATTGTTGTGCTGTTGAATTGATAGCTCTGGAGCTACTGATCTCAGAGTTGCTTTTTATATGAGGTAATAAACATCTATTGTTCTGACATTTTTAGTCAAGTATTCTTTTACTTGCAGCTAAAAACATGTAACTGTTACAGGAAGCTTTCCATTCAGGGGACAAAAATCAATTCAAATTGATTCAAAGAAAAATTGATAAGGGTGGAATTGCACATGGAACTGAGAATACTACCAGTGGTGCTAGCTTCAGACTTAGCTGGAACACATCTCCTAGACTCAGTTTTTCTCTTTCTCAACAGCACTTCCCTGTGTTCCGACTTAACTCTCAGGCAGGCCTTTGCAGACTCAGGCTTTCTATCTCTACTGTAGCAGTCACAGCGGGAGAGGCGGCCTCCTCTTCTCCCTGTTTCCACCAGATGATGTAGGCTGAACTCTGGCCACATGGCCACCCCAGAACTGGGATGGAATGGAATGGTGCTGGGGTCTGCCAGGGCTTTCCTTCCATACGGTTTGTGTCTTCACTGATGTTGCAGAAATTAACTACAGCCTGTACAGCCAGGTCTTGGAGGGGTGATGGAAAGTAAGTCTCTCTTTCAATACTATTTGCTAACTCAGGTGATTGGAACACTAAAAACACTTCCAGGGGGAATACTGGGGTCCAGAAAGGATTTTTTATTATATTAGAGGACATTTGGTTAGAATTTAGAAATACCAACAAACCTATCAAAATAGTTCTGTATTTCATAAAGCTATGTCCATTAAAGGAAAACTTCTTTCTCCTACTGGAGCAAAGTGCAACAACATATTGAGATACCCACTATTTAAAGAATTTCTAACTTTTGTGCCAGAAAAGAATCTAGATGAAACTGCCAGCGAAAATGAGGTTTTCATTCTCTCAGGGATACACTCTCCCAGCCTGCCTCTTCTGGCCAGAAGTTACTTTTTAGTCTGCAGTCCTTTAGAGACATTATTGGCCTTTTGTGTTTTAAACATTTAGAGTTTCTAAGAAATTGTTGGTATAGGGAAGAACTATCTGTATTTTAAAAGTCTATTTTCCCCCTTCTGTTTTATTGTCTTTTTCAAATGAATCTCCAGACTTTCTTCATTCTTTATGAAAACATAGTATCAACATTAAGTTCTAAAGGTATTTCCTTGGCTCTTCTTCAGAGCTTTCAGATACTTTCTGTACTTAGGGCATCTTGTAGTTTGAGCCTTTTTTTAAAAAAATTAATTCGTTTGCACAGTTACATACAGAAAAAGAAAAATCCTTTTCACTGACAACTTCAGCTGTTTTTATCATGCTTCATTCTCCTCCAAACCAAGCGTAAACATGGACGTATCAATAAGATGACTTGGTTTGAGTTGATGTCATTTTTTTGTGTTCTTTCCTTTTTACTCCCCTTTCCATATATTTAAGTTCACATGTTTGTTTTTTATTGGCCATCTTGTGCTGATTCACTGTTTATATATATTGGGCTGAAATTTGTAAGGAATAAAATGAAATAATTATACTGCCCACTATCCTCTGTGGTATATAGCAGAAAAAGGAGGTTTTCTTACTCATAATCATACTTTATTTTAGAGGGAGGAAAGGCCAGAATGGGGTTAAGTAAGGGCTGGAAATTTGACTTTCAAATGCCAAGTTTTAGCCCGAATACTGCTGATAGAAAAACCGTGTTTGTTGGGTCTGAGCAGCTCCAGAATAGAGAAAAACCATGTTTGAACTTGTGATTGGATTTGAGTCGTAACCTCCTTAAGTATGTTTGTGCTTATATTGATTCCTTGTTTTGACTCAAGGATTTTTTTTTTTAAGTAGTGCTCTTTTAATTGATAGGGGTTTTGTGTGGAAGGTGATGAAAAAAATTGCTCATTTCCTGAGTTATCAACTGAAGGTGATTCTGGAAAAAGCAGATACAGTAATTATATTCTAATTGCACTTAAGTTCTAAAACAAATTTTTTTAAAGAACACTTGCAGGGAGAATTCTAACTGTAAAAGCTTTCATTGCTTTGTAGACTAGGAGAGTCTAACTAATGCTGACACAGCTTAAAATGTCTTACGGGTAACTCTCCCTGAATCTCCCAAGATGCTTTGATTTTTATTAGAGAAGAAACAGGCACTCATTTATTGGTAGAAGAGTAGCTGTCTTAGAGGCAAAGGCTAAAATTGATTGTCAAATTGACAAAATGATCACATTTGGCTAAGGATTTTTCAGGCTGTCACATTCTAGAGTGCTAGCACAGACTTTTAGCCTTCATGTTTCTAGAAACATGGATCAGAGGTGACAGTTTATTCTTGGAATGTCTTGTTGCTGTTTTGCTGCCATTAGCTAATTGTGTGCTCTGTGTGTAATAATTTCCTGCTCTGACTTTCCTTGTTTTATGGTCATTGGCATTTTATCACCTTTAAGTTGTATGTTAGACTCAGGTCTTCCACAGGTGCCGGAATGTTGAGGTGTAGTCTAAATTCTAAAAGAAGAAAGGCTGTTAAATAATTGTATTCTGAAACTTGCTCTATTTGGGCTGATTCATATATGTTTCCTCTTTCACCACATAAATGGTCTGCTCTGAAGATGAGAAAAGAATAACATTCCTTTGAAAAAGTAAGCCGCTTTAACACCAAAACACAGACCCAGGCTTCCTCCAGAAAACAGACAACACTGAGGTGTTGTCTCCCATCTTACTGCAGGTCTAATTGAAGTATCTTCACTTTAGAATAGGTAGCAGAATCAAGGACTGGATTTTCAAAATCACATTCTAACTTCTATAATTTAGAGCTGACAAAATGTGCTAACAATAAAGTATTTCGAAAAAGACATTCATGGTTAAAAAGTGCTACATAAATAATTATATTCCTTTTTGCCCCAGTACATAGCTGCAGACCTGACTCATCGTGATGACAGGGCCACTCATCCCTGCCAGCATGGTAGGCTCTTTCTAGGCTTGCTGGTCTACCAGCAAAAAAGAGCCCAAAGTGACTGGACAGCAGCCATTGTAACTTACTGTGTGAACCTTGGTGGAAATGTTCCCTCCTGGAAGCCAGGACCTTCTGACCCACCAAGCTTAAAGTGTCAGACTAAAGAAGCAGAAGTTCCCCAGGTAGGAACCCCAGCTCTCAAGTGAGTCTTTGCAATAGATGCTGAATGGGGCCACTCCTATTTGTACCCACTGTGTGCTGTAGCC